TATGGATTTTTCAATGAGTTTTTTTTTTAGTTGTTTTTAGTGGCTTAATTTTTTTTTAATATATGTATAATCAAATATTAAAAATAGAATTCACATGTTTTATTTACTTATTCTTTATATAATCAAATTTTACTGAAATCAATTTTGTAAGTTTTTTTTATTTCACTCTAACCCAATGAATATGATCATGATGTCCGTAAAAAAAAATATGTATTAGAATTATTGATTTTATTATAAATTAACTATGTACATTACATCTATGCTCATAACACCAACCATTTGCTATTATTTTTTTAATATTTTAACTTTCTCAAATAAAATAATTGAAATAATGTTTTAGAAGAACAACCTAATAATTCAAATATAATGTTTTCTATTAATATCATTCATTATTTTGTAAATAAAGATATATAAATCAAATGTATATGTTTTCAAAAAAAAGAAAGAAAATTCTTCTTTATAGTATTAATCAAGAATAAAAAAAGATTTATTTGTTAATTTTTATATAGGTTTTATATTAATTATTTCTTTATTTATTCGATATCATGTTATAAAAATATTGAAATGTTTTTTTTAATTTTATATTTTGACTATTATGAGTTTTTATTTAAGAATAAATGAATAAAAAAGAACTAATTGTTTTTCTTTTAACTACTAAATTTATTTAAAATAAATAAATAAAATAGATGCAAAATTTTGATTAAAAAAATTATAAAACTAGATGACATTTTATCTTTAATTTAATATATTTTTATTGACCGACAACATAATACATGTTATCAAACTCGAAATAAATATGTTAACTTTGTCCGTAGTGTAGTGCGAAAAGCCAATTAGTAGATAGCTAAAAAGGTTTCATGCATTGTGAATGAAGATTTTAGTGCCTTACTAGCATGTTCGCATACCGAGTCCGTATAGTCTTACTCGTGATAATGAGATATTATAAAACAATATAAAAATTGAATTATTTTAAAATTTTTAGATAAATCAACTTTATAGAAAAAAAAAATAAAACTCTCAAATTGATTTTTATCAAATAATAATAAAAAAGAATATAGAAAACTACATTAAAATATGCAAGTACAAACCTCGTTGTGCTTATGGATCACATAAAGAAATCAAAATAGAAACAAAAATTAGTCGAAGGCAAAAACAAAAAAGGACATGAACAATAACATTTTGGCGATTACATTATCTCCATATAGAAATAAAAAGTTTAATTTAGTTATTTTTAGGTCATTGACTTTGTTATTCTTCTATATTCATACTTAATATCAAAACTTATAAAATCTTTTTACTTACACTCCCGAATATAACTAATTTATCTAAAAAAAAGTTCAAATTGTTTATTTGCAAGATAAGAAAAATATTTAAATAGATAGGCATGCTAATTTACTCTAATAATGTATTACAATTCAATCAAAAAGCCTATTTTCAATAAATCATTTAATTTATAAAAAAATACAACAACAAAAAGGAACACAATAAGAATAATTATAAACCTCGTATAATTGAAATAAAAATATAATATAAGGACTGAAAAAAAAGTATCATGTAGAGTCAAAAATCACATAATCAAAACTCTAATTGTCAAAATACAAGTAAGATCACAAAACAAGGATGAAAATGAATAAATAATTTATTTTAAAAAAAAACCCTAAGCTACTGCTACAGTAAAAGTACGTTTAGTTTTAATTTATTTATTAATATTAATTTGTGGTTTTAACTAATGTTGACAATTGTGATAGTAATAGATTGGCTAAATACAAGTGATCATCATCTACCATTACTATTGACTTAAAATTTTTCTTTCCTTGTAACTAGTACTTGCATAAAAAAACACAACAGCAGGGACTTTCCCGCCACAGAACCAAACAAGAACAACTACAGCTGACCATCCTACAAACACAGTGATATAAACATTGCTTAAGGCCAAGTGTAGCAAGAAAAATTACAAGGTCTCTATCATTTCGAAATTAACTAACGAGGCTCCAAGTTTGAGGTTGAGATTTCATAGGTTGAACATGATTCGGTTGATAAGTGGGAGGATAAAAGAATAGGTTGTATTTGAGTTGAATTGTTTTGCTGTGTATCAGTTTGCAGCAGATTGGGATTGCATTGCTGCATTAATGGGTGCAGCGAACTTGGGCCACGTTGACGCGTGACAGACTTGGCGTTGGGACAATGAGTTGGGCCTGGCAATTGGCTTCTGAGAGTACGGGCTGCCTTGAAGATTTTGTGCAGCTTGTTGGGCCGGAAATATAGGCTGTGGGCTGGTCAGTTGACGGTTGCGTGAAGTTAGCAGGAGAGCTGGGCTGGATAGATTGATGTTGGAGAGGAGAAGATGATCTGTTGATTTAGCTGGACGCTTTGAAATCGGACCTGCGGAATCAGATGAATGACAGACATGACAGGCTGTAGTTGGAGCAAGAATGGGAAAACTCTCGTGTTACGGTTCAAGTGCTGGAGGAGAGGAGGATGAATTTGCAAAAGAAAAAACGGACCCATTAAATTGCACATAATAACAAATATATGTTCGTAGGTAATTTAAACTATAACTACAAAAAATACGAGGAATGGTGAGAAAATCCATTTTATGCTTATTACGAGTATCATAACTGTGAAAAATTAAGACACGTTAAAACATTACAAAAAAAAAAAAAAAAGAATTTAGCGTTAGCGACGGATTAATCTTCGCACTATCACTAAAACAACAATAAACCGTCCCCTAACAGTGAATTTGGGTCGTGAATTTAGCAATAATTTTGTTGAACCGTCACTAATTCTATTATTAAATATGGATAATTTAACAATCATTTTTTAAATTCGTTTCTAATTAGCGACACTTTTAGTTGTCTATTTTCAGGAAGCCAGAGAAATCTTCAATTGGATCATGGCGGTTTGCAACCCAAATAACAGTTTTGGCAGGGATATTCTCGTACCAAATTCCCAAGTAACGATTCTTGGAAATTCCAGGACTAAAGAAACCTAGTTCAAAGTTTCAATCTTTGGAAACCAAGGTCTTTCCATCACCTACACACTGTGTTGGGGCAATGGTGTCAAAAGCAGCGGAGAATTTTAGCAGGAAAACGAAGAAATTAATACCAAAAATGTTAAGTGAAAGAATTGTCATTTTAGGTTTAGTCAGAGAGAGCTCAATATTTGGCTACAAGTACAAGATATATGTATATAAACTTTTATTTGCCTTGTGGGGCTAGCAAGTATTAATTTTAATAGGCTTCGGTAAACACTGACTTTTGACGTGTGTGTTTGATGTAAAGTAGGGCAGATTTGATGGATTGCATAGTCAATTACCCTTGACAATTTATACACCTATAGGCTTAATTCAGGGGTTGTATATCCGTTAGTTTTTTTTCAAATTTATTTGATAATTATATAATTGAAGATAGCTATTCCATTGTATGGTACAAGATCTGTGGATCTTCTAATAAATAATTTTTTTATTTTTTTAAGAAAGGGACAATTTATTGAGGATTTCAAACGTGGAAATGTTTGTTAAATTCCTGTACCTGGCCCATTTCCAAATGCTTTCTGGACCAACTACGTAATCTAATGGTAGGACGCATGAATGTGATGTGGTCTCCGCAGAAATACATCATCACCGTATTATTATAACATACACCATAAGAGGATGAAGTTTCACTGTAGATAAGCCCTTATTATGTACCGTAAAATCAAAACGGCATCGTCTTGGGTTTTTTAGACTCAAAACGATGCTAAAAAAAAAAAAAAAAAATTGTTAATTTTTTTCAATATTTTACACTTTAATTCTCTAAGGTATTAATTTATATAAAATAAATTAATATTATAAAAAGATCCTCATAAGTTTTTTTTCCAAGTTTTTTTAATTAATTATTATTTAATCAAAATAATTTTTTTCCCATAATTAATGGTTACTTTTTCTATTTTTATAAATATTTATTAACCAAAATTAAATATTCTTCTAATATAAATTGATCAAGCAACTCATTGTAATTTGATTTTTTAAATAAATAATTAATTGCATGTATTTTTTATTTATCAAAACAAAAAATATTCCCAAGATATATTTAAATTCAATTATATATATATATATTAAACAATTTAAAATATTAAACAATGAGTGTTAATTAATTTTTATTTTATGTTTATATTTATATTTTTTAATTATTAAAATATTAAAATATAGATATAATAGATTTTCTCGTGGCAATGCATAGGTATTGGAATAGTTTATCATAAAACTAAAAAGAGGACTTGTCTATGCATTCATTGGAAAGTAGCTGAAAATTCACGACCTAACTAAAAATGTTTCATTCACAACTTACCTAAAAAGAAAAGAATTACGGAGTATTCTGTTTAGTTCATCGAGTCAATTGATCGGGATGATTACTCCACACCATGATCTCTAGTCTTTCACATAGAAACGGGCAATTGAAAATAATTGTTGCCCTAGCGGAGAAAGTTCCTCTTCCTAGTAGATTCTCAAGATTTTGACGAGTTAAACATCTTTATTTCCTTCACTTATATATATATATATATATATATATATATATATATATATATATATATATATATATATATATATAGAAAACCATGAATGGAGAGGATTATGAGTGTCTTTGGAGCGGTATCCACTGGTAGGGGTGAGCAAACGAGTTCGGTTAATCGAAAATCGAATAAAACCGAACCGAATTATGAAATTTGGTTCGGTTTTAAATGTAAAATTATACAATATAAAATCAAACCGAAAAAACCAAAATTATTTCGGTTCGGTTTGGTTTTTAGAAAAAAAATTTGGTTTCGATCGAAAATCGAAATAAATAGTAAAAAATTTTCTAATTTCTAAATCCTTAACTTTCAATCTTCATTCTTCGCTGAAGCCGAAACACGTAGTCATTACTCTCCAATTCTCCTTCTTTCTTCCACTCTTCCCTAACCTCCTTGGGCTTCATTCCTCTGTTCTCCGGTCTCCGGTTCTCCTTCGGTTCTTATATACCTCATTCCCTCCAAGCTCCTCTATTGATGGAGAATTCGGTAGTAGTTTTGATTCGGTCTACTTGACGTCGTCTAAGGAACTTCTCTACTTCTTTTGCTGTAAAAACCAAACGACTCAAGTTGAACCTAACTCGACAACAAACCCAACGACGTCCACGAGTGGATTCGCCGGCTTCGCAAGTGGCACGAAGGGTTGGTGGAGGAGATGTTGAAGTTGCGAGGGATGTAAGGACCATTAAGAGTTTTGTTTGCTATTAAGGAAGAGGATAGGGAGGAGGCTGGAGGTAATTGAGAATGACACATCGTCTATAGAGAATGAGCTTGTTAAAAGCAAGAAGAGAAAAATGAGCAACGGTAATGTTTGTTTTGAAAAGGTATGTTGCTAATGATATGGTTGTCGATGTTGAGGTTGATGGTGTAACAACGCTTTTCTAGACACCGTGTGCGCCTTAGTATCATTATACTCCTTCACCTTCTCCTTCTCGTGATGGAAATCAATCACGAAAGAATTCAAAGACCGAAAATAAAGACGAGTGTCGTTTTACGTGATTCCGGTGAGAATACGATGTCCTTTATTAACATAGAAATTCATAGTTAGTATTTTAAACCATAAAAAAAAATGGAGAAAATGTTACCAACCTCGTTGTCTAAGTAATTAATATAATATAGTTTTTTTACGTATTCTGCTACAGACAACTCTTTTTTATTTATGTGTATTTTATTCTTGAGGTGCAAGCAAATGCTTCGATCTTGCCATATTAGCGACGAAGCAAATAAAATGGGAGGGCAATATGACATGGCAAGATCGGAGAGGATGTTGGACAACATTGTTGTTACTCGCACTTTCTACTGGACGAGAGAGGTGAAGGAGGCGAGAGATGTTGGTGAATTTAGTGCTCGTTTAATTTTTGTGGTACTAAATGACTAAATGGGTTGTAAAGCAAATGATGGGAAGTAAATTTTGATGACCGTTTGGGTAAGAAAAGAAAGTGGCGAGTGTAATTAATTGGGATACGAGTGTGTTTGAATGATAGAATCAAATACACTTGAATTGGTTTTCATTAAAGCCTAGTTAAAATCTTCAAGGGCTTTGTGATTGCCTATAAAAAGGATTAATTGATAACAAGATGTTACTTCATTGACTAGTGGACTAAGTGCTAGTACAAAACATATCTCCATAATGATTTTTTTTTACAGCAAAATATTTTGGTTAAAATCGAAATATTTTGAAACCGAACCAAAATAATACGATTACAAATCGAATTTATCAAATTTATTTCTTTTTGGTTTTGTTTTTTATTTTTCTTAATTCGATTAATCGAAAACCAAACCGAATCATACAAAACCGAACTATTTAACCGAATGATCACCCCTATCCACTAGTGGCTGGGTTCTTAGGGAGGCGTAAGCTCTAGTGTGAGTTATGAGTGTATTTGGAGCGAGTATCCAATGGGACCGGGTTCTAAGGGAGACATAGGTTCTAGTGAGGGTGAGATAGCCCTTTTGAAGATAAGTAGAGGCTTTTGTCTTCTCCTAGGCTCTATTGGCGGAAAATAACTTTCAAAAACTTCTTTTTTTTTTAGTGTTTGTTTTTCGTTTAGGAAAAAAATCAACGAAAAATAATTTTTAGTCAACGAAAAATTAAAACATATTTTTCTAGTTTAAAAAGAGAAAAACACTTTACTTTTCATGAACTCGTCTCGCTCTCGACTCTCACATTACATACCTCTCTCTCGATATATTCTAATAATTTTTTCTCTATCTTCTTTTTATTTAAAATATATCAAATTAATTTTTAATTATTCATTATCAACTATTATTTATTATTTAATTATTTTTCTCTATTTCTAATAATATTTTTTTTTGATTTATAGATATATGAAATATTCTTAAAAATTATTTTTACACATTAAAATTATTTTATTATAAATATTTTAATAATTTATCTTTATTGTTTTACTATTATCTCAAATACCACTTACACTATACTTAAATGATTAAAAATGATTATTACAAAACTATAATTTTTTGTAAAAAAAATTAAAATGAATTAATTCACTAATAAATATATTATTTTTTCAACACTATTCATTTATAACTAAATCAATAATTGTAATTTTAATCAATTGTAAAATTTTGTTGGTAATTACAGTGAATAATTAGTTACAAATTATTCCAACATTAATCTTTTAAAACCAAATGAATAATTATCTACAAATGATAACTAATAATTTATAAAATTATTTTTTAGACTAAATTATCAGTTCAATTTCTTAAAAAAAAAAAAAAGAATTCTTAATTGAGTTACCAAAATAACAATGCTTGGATTACTTAGAAAGTTTTTTCTTTTTTTACTAAATTTGACTATTGACTTGATTTTGTCCCAAGTAATTTTGATGAATTTGTTTGATGGTTAAAAAAGTATATTTTATTTTTTTGAATTAATTTTAGAGTCAATATTTATGAAAATTTATAAAGTTTTTCTAAATGTATCTTATATTGTCAAATTAAATATGCTTTTTTTTTTTTTAAGTTTCTCAAAACTTGTTGATATAACAATCACATACTGTTTTTGTATTTTGATTTTCTCGCATCAAACAAACGTTGGAATATATTTTTTAGTAATTTTTTCATGTAATTGACAACCGAGTAGAAAATATTTTTTTGAAAAATAATTTCTTGAAGGATAGCTTGCTCAAGAATTGATTTGCCTATGAATGTTGTTTTCCACCAAACAAACGGAGCAAATAACATGTATGGATTAGGACTTGATACTTTTCGTCGTATATTAGAGGATGATATCTCCCCATTTTAACCAAAGAATTTGCGAGTCTAATGATAGTAGTTTTTTTTAATAAGAGGTTACGGATTCAAATCTCAACAAATTAATTTTGTTAAAACTCATAGGTGCATGGGTTAAAAAAAATATATCTCTCAATTATATCACATTAAGAAGATAGGATGACTAAACCACGCTCCGAGATGGCTTGCATATTGAAATATGGATACACCTTTTCTCTATCGGGATTTGCGACGGAGGTTTTCCAATACTTTGGCTTGAGTGTGTGCCAATTTCACTCGAATAGATGGATTTTTCTTATAGTCTTCAAGAACTTTTGCGAGTAGCTTGACATTGTTTAACCCTTAAACTTTTTAGATTCTCTCCTCGTTTGATCAAGGGTGTTGGTGAAGGAGAAAAGAGAGTCCATGTATACACTCTTATTAGTAGGGGATCGGGTCCATTGAAAGGGGTGTTTGTAGGATACCGATTGGAGAGAGAGTTGTTTATAGTGAGGTATAGAAGGAGAGAATCGAAAAGTAAATGTTGGGTAATTTAAAGATGTATCCCTTTATAGAGAATGCCTTAAGGCAATCTCAATACATTCCTTATACAAAGTAATGATGAAAATACTTTGGGGTATAGTTAGGATTAGTAGGAAGAAATATTGCGTCAACCTACTTGTTATTAGGTTATCATTGACCCACGACTTGCAAGATAAATAACTCGAGTGTGAATCTTTCAAATTTTTATAGATTTTTCTTCACCTTGATTATTGATTATTCTTCTCTTCGATTGGTCCGTCACCCAAAGAAGATAGTGACCTTGGTTAGTTTTTCATGAAGCTTCATATGCTTTGTGTGGAGAATACTACTATCGAAGAGGTAGCCCAAGCTCCCATCTCCTCTTCTATCCTAATCTTTGTTAATACCCAATTCCCCCAACCCCCCCCCCCACTATTTTCTTTTTATTAGTATTTTTATTGCAAAAAAATACAAAAAGTAAATAAAACAAGCGATAAAGAGAGAAAATAAATCAATTTAAATAAAATTTTCAAATTAGTTTAATTAAAAAGAGAGAAGAAAGAAAGTTTGAGAATTAAAATAAACTCGGTTAAGCGAAAAATTAAAAAGAATTAAAAAAATTCTTAAATTAAAAAGAAAAAAAGAGGGACATAGTTAGAAAAAAATATGTTAAGAAAAAGACCTAATTAATTATAATTTGGGTCCCTTGAAGTTCAAACAACTCAAATTTCACTTAATTTGAAAAACATAGGTGAAATCGAGGACCAAAACGAACTTTTATCCCAAAAGACCTAATTACTAAAAAAGCTAAAAAATCTAGGGTTTTTACTATTCATTTAGTGTAGCATTTTCTTTTTTTCTTTTTTTAAGGATTGCCCAACAACCTGACCACTAGAAGAGCGAGGCTCGGCTAAGCTTGGCGATAGGCTTAAGTAGGCTCGGCTTAGCTCACAAGTGTGCACAAGCAGATCCCATTTGCCTTTTTTTCCCTTTCAATAATTTATTTTTATACTTTTTTTTATCATAAAATTAGCTATGAATATATATATATATATAATTTCTTAGTTTTACGTATAATTTAACCGTAATAGAATATATATGATATTTTTTAAGATTTTAGTTTGAACATATATATATGATTATATTATTTTTATTATTTAAAATGTATTTCTTCAATTGTTTGTTTCTTGTTAAAATTCTCATCAAATTAATTTTTTTATTTTTTATTTAATTTTATTTGTTAAAAAATTGATATTTTTATATATTGATTTTCAAATAAAATTTAATAACATGATTGTTTTTTAAATATATTATTATAATTTATACGGTTGATTATTTTTATAATTTTAAATGATAGTAGTATAGTTGTATATATAAATTCTGATGTGTGAGAGAGAGAAAGCTAATAATGTGTTTTAGATAATTTGACTTAATTTTTTTAAAAAATAATAATTAGTTAAAAAATAATTAGACTCAATTTTTTTTTAAAAAATTAATAATTAGTTAAAAATTCACGAGTTTTATTTGGTTTTTTATATATATATAATCATAATTTATCAAAACCAATTTTATAATAGTTTTTATTTAAATCTATTCACTTCGAAATATTTCATACGATTTTAGTGGTTTTTTTTTGTATATATATATATTTTTTATGTATTCTATATATTCTAAATCTGCTAAGTACAATACATATATAGTAATTTCCTTAGAAATTAATTATATCTACATACATAACACTAATTTTTTATTATTTACTTTTTCATATTCTAAAAATTATATTTTTTAATAAAATAATTTAATTAATTTTTTAAAAGAACCTCTTAATTTTTTAAATATAAATTTTTACTAATATTATAAATTATTTTATTAATAGATATGTATAAATCAAATAAGTTCTCTTAATATAAAAATTCGATTTACATTAACTTTGCATATATAATGGTTGTTTGACCAATGTAGCACAAGTATAACTAGTTTTTACCTATAAAAAACTCACTTTTCTCTCCAAAAAAATCCAAAAAAAAAAAAAAAAAGTGTCAAATTTCCAAAAATTTTCAACAGCTGGTTTTCTCCTCCATAACTGATTTTTAAGCTTTTTCTGCCTTAAGGTTATGAGCCTTGCGAGCTACCAAGATGCTTTAACCTGTGTGCATCATGATTTGAATTAAATCTCAATAAAAGAGTACATCAATGGGAAGTTAGTTTGATAAATTACATGCTATCCAAATACTATAAATAGAGAGCTATTCTCCCATTCTAAGCAGACAGGAAGTAGGTGATATAGATAGTTAGAAAGAGCTCTTACAAATTACTAAATAAAGTACAGAATATGCTATAAATATTTACTGAGTGTTGTGTTCTATAATTTATTTATACTACTACTTTGAAATAATTATGTGTTATTTTAGTCCATAAATTGTGTTGTGCTAAACTCAATAAGTAACACTAGTTTAAAAAAAAGACAAACCTCTGTATGAAAGGCATACCTAATTCTGAATCAAAATTGGGGATAAGGTAAGAGCATAATGTATTCAAAAACATGAAGAAAAAAAGAAAATAGAAAATAGAAAAAAAGAAGTCATACATATACCTTCAACTAACACATCTGAAAATCCAATAAACTTATAATTCAAACTTTAAATAGGTTTAATGACTTTATCGAGTCTAGGAACATGTCAAAAGGTTGTGAGCATTCCATCCTTCACAATTAACTATCGAGGATACAAGAGTGAGGTAGTGATTTCATTGGTGGAAAGTAATTCAATCTTGCTAGATGAAGAAGGTGTTTCAAAGGGACCACTACCCTTAAAAAAGCCTGGCTTCTTTGGCTGAGGCAGCGTATTCTCACCTCCTAGCATCCAAACCACACTCGCCATGCTTGGCCTATCATCAGGATGCTGCTGCACACATAAGAGACAAATGTTTATGCATCTCATCACTTCTGATAAATTGCATGACTCTCCTGCCACAATTAATTCCAATGCTTTTCCATCTTTCCACAATCTCCATGCCTAGAAATGAAAAGGAACATTTTGTCATTCAGTACCTGTTCAAGACATAACAAAGAAACTGAAATGTTGACACTTACATGTCCAATAAGGCTTAAGCTATGGTCTGGGTGATAAAATCCTCTACTCTTCTTTCCACTTATTATCTCCAGCATTAGGATTCCAAAGCTGAAAACATCAGACTTCACTGAGAAGAGCCCATCAGTAGCATATTCTGGTGCCATATAACCACTGCAGAAAATAAATCAATCTAAGTATACCAGTACTGTATCTGGCTCATAAGCAGATGTCTCAGGTAACTAGGTGAGTACTTACTAAGTTCCAACAACTCTGGTTGTGTTCCCTTCGGTCTGATCTCCTCCAAACATTCTGGCCAAACCAAAATCAGAAATTTTCGGGTTCGTATCCTTATCAAGTAAAACGTTGCTTGCTTTAAGATCCCTGTGTACAATCCTCAATCTGGAATCCTGATGAAGATATAGAAGCCCCCTAGCAATACCACAGATAATGCTGAAACGCTTGGACCAGTCTAACAGTTTGCCTCTTGTTTGATCTGTTAAGTTGTTTGTTAGTGCAGCATGCCACTTTAGCACTTCAAAACAAACTTGATTGTTTTTTAAAATCTTAGACATATGTATAGTAAAGTTACAATAGGATAGAAAAGTTTGTCACGGTTAGACAAGTACCAAAAATAAAGGAATCAAGGCTTTTGTTGGGCATGTATTCATAAACCAGAATTCTCTCTTCTCCTTGAATGCAATAGCCAAGAAGTTTTACAAGATTACGGTGCTGAAGCTTCGTAATCATTATAACTTCATTTTTGAACTCATTTAATCCTTGTCCTGAACTCCTTGATAGCGTCTTTACAGCTATTTCTTGGCCATCTTCTAGCGTACCCTAGAAAATGATACACTAAAATACTTGAGCTGCTCTGAATAAAACTCGCACTTGTAGTTCATATAGTCATTTTGCTTGAATTTGAGAAAGTTGGACCTGTCTTCTACATAACATGAGGTATTTAGTTTTCTTTTAGCTATTTCACTTGAAATTGAGAAATTTACCTTGTAGACAGGTCCAAAACCACCTTCTCCTAGCTTGTTGTTGAATGAAAAACCATTGGTGGCATTAGCTATTGTGGTGAACTGGAACAGGGGAAGCTCCATGTCTTCCTTTTGTCCACTATCTATCTGACCATTTTCTCTGTTGCTTCCTGTTTTCTCAGACAGTGGAAAATGGGAATCACATATCATGGTAAAAGATGAGAAACGAATAATGAGCCAATGTTTTGATGTTCAGATATGACAGATATCAGTTGAGACCATGATTACAAAACTGAGCCAATACAGTACTTCACTCTATATTTTCCTGAATGCTACTATCATCTAATCAAGGCTAAATCATGTAATGATCTAAGTGTTTTAATTGGGAATCCATCGACTTCAGTAAAATAGGTCCTTGTCAGCTTCTCCGAAGTCAAGCACTAATCCATTTAATTCACTAATTTATTTCAAAGTAAACTGCAAGAGCTATTCTTCTCTATTAAACTCACGACAAATAAGATGCTCATTTAGTGAAAGCAATCAAAGCACTTTACCTATGAGCTTAGCCTTTCTTTTGAAGATGTAATAGGCGACTACAAGTGCACCGCAGACCACGAAAATTGGTAATGCAATTCGCAATACTATCTTTATCTTAGAGGCAGCTTTTGCCTCTTAATGTTCAATAAAAAAGAATGAAAGATAGTTAGAATACAGCCAAAAAAAGAGAGAGAGAGAGAGAGAAGCTAAAACCTAACCAAGGAAATGATGATTAAATATTAATCTACGGATAAGCACTCACTTGATTCTGAAGCATTCATGCGAATGTATAGTTCCTGCCCTGCAGCTGGAAACTGTCTAATATCGATTAGATCGCCAAACCAAATAGCACAGCCACTGCCTTCCTTAATATCTGCAGCTGTATATGCCATACAAGAACAGTTTTGTAAGCATTTAGTCCTGCATTCCTTGAGATTCATAGTTTTGTTTAGCCAAGAATTGGTAGCATCTGGCAATTTCAACCCAGTATACTTAACGAATCCATCTCCCTTCTGGCAATTTAGTGGCTTATTTCGTACACACCCCTCAGACCAGTCCATTGAATTCCAACTCTCAAGGGATTTTGGCGTGAATTTTTCTAAACATTGACAAATTGGCGACTGGCTAATGATGCAATTTCCGTAGGCACCACAAAGGCCATAAGTGTCACAGTAGTCTCTCGGCACAGTAGCATAGAGCACCCATGTCTGATTTATTTCATTCCATGTGTAACGCTGCCGATTATATGTAGTTTGGTTCATAACTATCCTCGTGAGTACAGATTTATTTTTGATGTTGTATGTGTAATATACCTCCTCACTGTCATCCACAAAAGCGAAATCATAAACTGGATTCGGCCTTAACGCCAGCGCACCACTGAACCCAATACCATTCCATGGACCACTTCTATAGTACTTCTTTGATCCCCTCCGCATAACCAACTCAGGATTATTCTGTAATTGTATCCCCCATGTAAAATCTCCAGGAGATGGATCATCAGGACTCTTCCATGATGTTAGCCAGCGATCAAGTCCAGTCCTTAAGTCCCATCCAAGCTTCATTCCTGGAATGAATGTATCAGATGGATAATCAAAACTCTGCCACAAATAGCTTCCAGAATTGACATCTTTCTCATCCCTTAAGATCAGATTCCCAGAATCCAGGAGTTCTCCCACTGGACTCTGAGCTGCTTTCGTTAAGTTTGATGACCAAACAATAGTACTATTGTTGTTGCTAACAAGTACAAAATTTCCTGTGTTGTCTATCATCAAGAATCCAGAGGAATCATTGATTGGATTTTTTCTGTTTGCAACCCAAACAACAGCTCTAACTGGGATGTTCTTGTACCATATTCCAACATAACGGTTCCTGGAACTTCCAGGACTGAAGAAACCAAGCTCAAAACTTCCATCTTTCGAAACTAAGGTTCCTGTCCCTCCATCACTAATAGATTGAGACAAAGTAAGTGTATCAGCTGTATTACAGAATCTAGAGAATAAAAGGAGTAAACTAGCAATGATAAGCATGAAAGAAAGAGTGTCCATTAGCAACTGGTAATTAAAGCTTTGATCTTTTTGTTTTCCGAAACAGTGAAATTGCAGATATGGTTGCCAGTCCACAAGGGTCTAACTAATCATGGAAGTGGACAAATAGTATTTGCTTGCGTAAGTATATTGTTTTTTTAAAAAGTCGTAAGAGGGTTGCAATTGACTCAGAAAAACAAATTGTAACATCCAAATGTTTGATTATCATTCATTAGTCTGGAAATCATTTTAATATCACCAAAAGCAGCCGATAGAAATTGTTGCAGACAATAAATCAGACCAATGGCATTATCAGTGCTTACTGACCAAATTACAATAATCAATTTTCTCTTTATATTCCAATCCGAGATAATATTACTTGCTGCCTAAACTAAGCATTACAAAAAACATCAGGTGAGTTTTTCCTTGTTCATAGACTATTCACGTACTCCAAATTTATTGTGGACCAAGACTTAATCGTACTATGCTGCCCTTCTCCACGCATTTCAGTCGTTCATTTTTTGCTTTGCTTCGTCTCCTTCGTTGGTTTCCAAATACCTTGCAAAAGTCCATTTATTTTCCTCTAAATTGCCAATTTAACACCCTTATATTATTGGTTTAATTGCTATTGTGCCATTTAGTGGTGGTGCTAAGTTAGGTTCTTACCTTTGCTTTCCTTTTTTACCTTCCCCCTTTTTTAACCCTTTTTTTTTTTTTTTTTTTTTTTTTTTGTAATTTGCTCCTTACTTGGACAGAGCAATTAAGGCTCAATCCTGATGCTTTTGCTGCACCATTTTTTTTCCCTTTGGAATACATATATTGTGAGTTTAGTTATTATTATTATTATTATTATTATTTTGGTCCTTAAATTACAAGTATGTTTGTATTTGGTTTCTTGGATTCTAAAATGTTTAAAATGATCCTAAACTATATATGATTAAGTTGAAATATATTTAACAAAAATTAAATATTTTTAATAGAGAGTGGATATTGCAATAGTTAACATGATTTAAAATTGTGTTAGTTAATGAGATAACTTCATATGGTTATCCAAAATAGAATCTAATTTTTTTTATTAATTCAAACTATTTAAAATGATCCTAAACTATATATGATTAATTTAAAATATATTTAACAAAAAATAAATGTTTTAATAGAGATGAGATATTGCAATAGTTAACATGATTTAAAGTTATGTTAATTAATGAGATAACTTTATATGGTTACCCAAAATAGAATCTTTTTTTTTTTTTTTAATTTTGGTACATATTTAGGGATATTCATTATTGTATTATAAGAATTTGGTTTAAGATATTCATCTTTCAAGTTTTATATTTTTGAATTTATTTATTTTGTTTTGATTTATAATTTAATTTTGTGTATTGAATTATTTAAAACTATTTCATAAATTTTATTTTAATATTTTATTGGATTGAATATTTAAAGAAAATTTTTTAAGATTTTGCAAAGAACCCATTAAAATTATCAAAGTGAGAATAATGATATCTAGAAATGTATGTGAAAAACTTTAATAAGTTTTTATATATAAATATCAAAAAAGTTAAAAGCAAAGGATCATTATTAAAAAAAACAAAAACAAAAAAAAAAACAAAATCATTGTTCATGCATTGTTCATTATCTCCCATTTTCCTATTCATTACTATAACATTAAAATAGGTAGAGGGTTTGAACATTTAAAATCACTATTCTTCCCCTCATAAACTATTATTCATTATTGTAGCTTAGTTATATATATATAATTTTCAAGTTGTTTCATTTTGGTTTCTAATTTTTTTTTTAAAAAAAAATTTAATACCCTAACCGATGCACTATACATGTTTTTTTTCTTTGATTTTTTCCATCAATTTATGTTTTTTATTTATTTAATTAGGTGTTAAAATTTTAAAAATTCAATCGTTACTTTTTTCTATATAAATTGACGATTTTAAAATAAAAATTTTAATCTCTTAACTTATGCATTACACATACCTTTTCTTCTTCTTCTTTTTCTTTGTTTTTTTCTTTGCTTTTTCATCAATTTATATTCTTTTTTTAATTTAATTAGGTGTTAAAATTTTAAAAAATCAATCGTTACTTTTTTCACACAAATTAATGATTATATATATAAGCAATCCCACCAAGAACGAGAGCCAAGACACTACCCACAATGCTCCTATACTAGGACCCATGGTCGACGCCTATGAGAAAGCGAGCGGCTACCTCTTATAGAGCAATATGTAGAATTTCAGCAATTGTAGGGTTAGACACTACTAAGTCTCAAGTGTCACCCCCTCTAAAAAATTCAATTTTTTTTTTTAATTTTAAGCTGAAATTTTGTACATAAGTTTGGAAAAAGCCGAACTATTTTCCGGAAAAGGTTTAGAATTTTTCAAGATCAAAAAGTATACTTTTTATTTTTTAAACATTAAAAATATAAAAAATCAAAAAATAAAAAATAAAATATGTCGGAACGATCCAAAAAACTTTGGGGGAGCTCAGTAATAATGTTTTGTATGTATTGGGATGGTTTTTGTGTGAAAAGGATGAATTTTTCATGCAAAAATGCAAAAATTTGAGTCCATTTTTAATTATTCGTATTTTGAGTTGAAATTTTTTGCACACGTTTGGAAAAATACAATCCATTTTCTCAAAAATTTCTAGAATTTTTTGAGGTCACAAAGAAGTTTTTTTTTTTTTAATTTTTTTTTTGGACTTTAAAAATGCAAAAAAAAATTGAGAAAAATAGAAAATAACCCGAAACGTTCCCTTTTTTTTTTTTTTTTTTTTTTTTTTAAGGGAGGACAATAAAAATATTATGGAATTATTGGAATGTTTTTTGTTTGAACGAGACGACGTTTTCTTGCCAACTCGTGGAATGCTCGAATCTCTCGCATCCTATGGCAAGCTCCTCGCTGCCTTACCTCCCTTGGGCATAGGGCCCGCCAACGCTCATGCGCCCGTGTGCTCTGCTGCCAAGCTCAATCACTAATAGATTGAGACAAAGTAAGTGTATCAGCTGTATTACAGAATCCAGAGAATAAAAGGAGTAAATTAGCAATGATAAGCTTGAAGGAAAGGGTGTTCATTAGCAACTGATAATTAAAGCTTTGAACTTTTCGCATTCTGAAACAGAGGAATTGCGGATATGGTAGCCAGTTCACAAGGGTCTAACTAATCGTGGAAGTGAACAAATAGTATTTTCTTGCGTAAGTATATTGGTTTTTTTTGAAAAGTCGTAAGAGTGTTGCAATTGAACTAGAAAAACAAATTGTACCATCCAAATGTTTGATTATCATTCATTAGTCTGGAAATCATTTTAATATTACCAAAAGCAGCTGATAGAAATTGTTGCAAACAATAAATCAGACCAATAGCATTATCGGTGCTTGCTGACCAAATTACAATAATCAATTTTCTCTTTATATTCCAACCCGAGATAATATTACTTGCTGCCTAAACCAAGCATGCAATTCTAAACGACGGTAAGCCTTGGCCACAGACCGAGTAGCTCCCCAAATGATAAAGAAACTGAACCAAACACAATCAAAAACGAAAAAACGAAAAGGCCCAAAGGAGACCAGACCATTAAAGGACTAATGGGAAAGCTCCTC